TCCCTACCATAGTATTTGTCTTGGAGGAATAATGCTTTTTGCAGGTTCACCTGAAAATTAGGAAAGTCTGAGAGTGTAGAATATTTTGTTTTCATGTCTTTGCTTTTTTTTTTTTATTGCCCCTTTTTTGTTTTTTTTTTTAGACGTTAAAAGTCAGTGTGTGGATGGTGAATTGGTTGAAATTATTATTTAAATTTCATTAAATTGTGGAGGTAGACATAAGTGATCCAAGTGTCAGCTGTTTCAAAGGGAAACAAAAAAATAAACTTGCTGCTATTCAACAGTTCTGTAGTGTGTTTGCAGGCTGTGAGCCCTTGCTTCTTCGTTGTCCCAATGCTGCTGCACAGAATTTTGCGTTTCTACATAACAAGTCAAAAAAGTTAGTTCCGTAGCTAGATTTTGGCTAAAATCTATAGTAAAAAAACCTCAATACCCCTCCCAAAAAACCCCACAACAAACAACAACACAAAAAAACCCCACCAAAAAAACCCAAAAACCCCACAAAAAAACAATCGCAAACCCAAACAATAAACAAAATAAACTAACAAGTAAATATTTATTTGCTACTTCCGATTTCCTTGTGTCTTAGTCTTGCTGGTCTAATCTTCACTCTTTAAGGTACTCAGTTAAGTTGGTCAACTGAGCTTCACTCCAGTGTATTAAAATTATTTTCTTAATATTGTTCAGTATTTTCCTGAGGAGGCTTTAGTTTAAGCACAGCATGTTATAGATCTGCTGAAATGAAACAAGTTTGTGCCTTTTTTTTAAGACCGTATGTGTTCTATTTCATACAAATCATCTAGATTTACCTTACTGTGTTTGACACTGGTGTTTTACAGTTTATGGTGGATAACTTTCTCTAACGCCTGGGATGCTGCAAGTTGTTTTTTTACTTAAAGGCTAAGGATGAAACTCCTCTCTCTCTCTCTCTTTCTTTTAAGGCATTGCTGATCCAGAGGTTTCAGAGTACATTAGTGATAGCGGAACACAACAATGAAACTCTTACACCCATTACGCTAAATACTATTACTGCGGCAAAACATGCTTTTTGCAGGTTCACCTGAAAATTAGGAAAGTCTGAGAGTGTAGAATATTTTGTTTTCATGTCTTTGCTTTTTTTTTTTTTATTGCCCCTTTTTTGTTTTTTTTTTTAGACGTTAAAAGTCAGTGTGTGGATGGTGAATTGGTTGAAATTATTATTTAAATTTCATTAAATTGTGGAGGTAGACATAAGTGATCCAAGTGTCAGCTGTTTCAAAGGGAAACAAAAAAATAAACTTGCTGCTATTCAACAGTTCTGTAGTGTGTTTGCAGGCTGTGAGCCCTTGCTTCTTCGTTGTCCCAATGCTGCTGCACAGAATTTTGCGTTTCTACATAACAAGTCAAAAAAGTTAGTTCCGTAGCTAGATTTTGGCTAAAATCTATAGTAAAAAAACCTCAATACCCCTCCCAAAAAACCCCACAACAAACAACAACACAAAAAAACCCCACCAAAAAAACCCAAAAACCCCACAAAAAAACAATCGCAAACCCAAACAATAAACAAAATAAACTAACAAGTAAATATTTATTTGCTACTTCCGATTTCCTTGTGTCTTAGTCTTGCTGGTCTAATCTTCACTCTTTAAGGTACTCAGTTAAGTTGGTCAACTGAGCTTCACTCCAGTGTATTAAAATTATTTTCTTAATATTGTTCAGTATTTTCCTGAGGAGGCTTTAGTTTAAGCACAGCATGTTATAGATCTGCTGAAATGAAACAAGTTTGTGCCTTTTTTTTAAGACCGTATGTGTTCTATTTCATACAAATCATCTAGATTTACCTTACTGTGTTTGACACTGGTGTTTTACAGTTTATGGTGGATAACTTTCTCTAACGCCTGGGATGCTGCAAGTTGTTTTTTTACTTAAAGGCTAAGGATGAAACTCCTCTCTCTCTCTCTCTTTCTTTTAAGGCATTGCTGATCCAGAGGTTTCAGAGTACATTAGTGATAGCGGAACACAACAATGAAACTCTTACACCCATTACGCTAAATACTATTACTGCGGCAAAACGTCTTGGAGGTGAAGTCTCTTGTTTGGTAGCTGGAACCAGCTGTGACAAGGTAAATGCTGTTTTCATGTGAATGAAAGACTCAATGCAGAGAAACAATGCTTGGTGGCCTCTCGGTCAGCCTGAAAAATAATCTGTAGCGAGAGGAACTGTGCCAGGAATTGGTAATCTGCTGGAAATGTACTGCGCTTGAACTGCTTCTCTTCTGAAGTGAAAATATGGGTCTAGATTTCATTTCACAAGGGAGAATATCAGTATCAGTTTTTAAAAGCTTAAGCAAGCAAATTTTTATAGGACTAAAGGACAAGTAAATTATAAAACACGATTTCCCTGTAAAGTCCGAAGGACAAATATTGCAGTGCTAAGAATCACACAGAACCTGGAAAGAAGCTTGCACTGCTCAAATGGAAACCAGCAGAAATGAAACAGCAGTGACAAATAGGGCTTCCGAGCATCTTGCTTTTACTAGTCAACTGCTGGTAGCAGTGTGAGAGTGTTTGCAACCTAAAATTCTGAAATTAGTGCTTCTTGACTTCAGCATTTCACTCCTGTCTAAAAAAATTTCTCGTGTATTAGCTGTTTCATTGTTAGTCTTATTTTTTAGTCTTAATGTGCAAAATCCAGAGAAAGTATATTTTGTAACAGTAAAAATACAATTAATTGTGCTGAATATTTTTCATACGAGGCTATCATTTGTGATCTGTTAACTCTGAAGGCAGTTTGCAGTACCTCATGCAGGAGATGTTCTTATGGCAGCTATTTCAAATATGGGGGAAAAAACCTCACTGGCTCTTCTAAGCTGAGACCCAGGTGTTTAGGGTGGAGACGTGGAAGCAAATATTTATCTGAATCAAGAAAAAAAAAATTACCTGATACGTCTGTCTTTTAGTTTCCTTGTTCTTTGGCACTGGCAGAGTAGAAAATGACTGCGAATGTTTTGTTATTTTTTTAATATTAAGAATATGGTGCATGTAATATATGTCATGTTGGGAAAAAGTACTTTACAGAAAATGAAAGTTTGGAGTTTTTTCAAAGCTTCTTTCTAAAAATCTGTATTGATAGGAGAAAAGAGCCAGTTACTCAAATACTCTGTGGCAGCTATTATGGAGCTTTTATTTATTTCCTCTTGTTAATTTTTGAGGGTAAACCGATACTCTGCAAACTCAGTAAAACTACACTAGTTCTGGGACAGTGCATGTGGTCTCCAGACACTGCTGTCAGTCCTCTTCTCTCTGATCTGCAGCAAGCCTTTTATCATTTAAGCTTCACTTCTCTAAATTTAAAGGAAAAAAATGCATAAACACAGCACTGAAAATCTACATCACATCAGTAGGCAAAGAGTCAGCTGCAAACAAAGGATTGCTCCTAAAATTTGGCCAAAGATCATAACATTGATGTACATTTGTGTTTGTCCTTTATGCTTGTGTGTTGGATAGGGCCTGATTTAAAAGAAAGTAGGGCTGGTTTCTTGAGGATTCTATCAGATTACTGAGCAATAATCCTCAAGTGTGATTGTTTTCGGCTGTTATAATAGAATATGAGATCATTGTGTTGTCCTGCACGCAGGAGACAAGCTTTCCCATATTTGCTTTTTGTAGTTTTTTATCCACAAAAATTCAGTTTCATTATCCCCTAAGGCATTATGGTGCGAGTCAGAAGATCTTTTTGTTTCATCAGGTTTGTTTTGATTTTGAAGTAACTGGACTTTTGTGTTCTGGTTGTGCAGCAGGGACTGTCTCCTGTTTTTTGTTTACAGTGCCTACCACCTTGGGGCTCTAGGTTTAGTTGCAGATTCCATGTGCTGTTATACCACCAACTAGTAATAATTTATGTGTAATCCCAGGTAGCTGTTATAATATCGAATAATAATAATTTGTTTGTAATCCTAGGTAGCACAAGAAGTCAGCAAAGTGCAGGGTGTTGCAAAAGTTCTAGTGGCTCAGCACGATGTATACAAGGGATTTCTAGCAGGTGAGAGTTGTTCTTACCTCTTGTCCAAAAGAAAGGGTATTTATATTTGCAATTGAACATAAAGTAGCTGTAAATTTTGTGCAATGTATTTTTATCCTCAGAGGAGCTGACTCCCTTGATTTTGGAAGCTCATAAAAAATTTAATTACACCCACATTTGCGCTGGAGCATCTGCCTTTGGGAAGGTAAGTAGATGCAACAAAAATTTCTTGTAGAAAAGACACATTTTTTTGTGTAAGGCTGTGAATCAAATACCTGAGAGAGGTCAGCCATGGACGGTTGGGAGTTTCAAAAAATGTTAGTCATTCCCTTAAGAAGTCATTAGTTAGAAACACTGGTCTGAGTCTTACTATGGGTGACTTGGACGAAGGAACAGCGTAGAAGAAATATTTCGTGGTAATTTAGTTCTACGTACACAAGGCAAGAAGTACAGTAACACAAAACAGTAAGTGATCTGAAAGCATTGTAAAAAATGTCAGGAAAAGTACAGTAAATTGAGATGAAAAATGTTGAGAGTGTGCAAACTTTTTTTTTGTGTAAAAAAAAAAAGAAACAAACAAAAAAAACCGCACACCAAAACAAAACAAAAAAACCCAAACAAAACCAATCAAAAAACCACAACCTGGTTTTTTTGTGTGCAAACTTTTTTTTGGTAGTGATTTTAGACATGATTTTAGTCGTGTAAATTGAAATCACTAAATATATATAAATTACAGAGGTCCGAGTCCTAGCCCAGGATATTTTTTAATGAAAACAGAATTTTTCTAAACTTGTTTCTTAAGGAACATGTTTTTAAGTATGTGGGGAACCTCAGTACTAACAGTCTGGTCAATGTTGTAGCGCAGCTGAAGTAGAGAAAAAGGATACTTCAGAAATCTTGCTGATGTGGGATAAATAATGACATCAGTTCTCCATCTGAGTGCTTTCACTTCCAGTCAATATCAATCCATATGCTTGTAGTTTTGCTAAGAGAAATCTTTAAATATCTTAAGTCCTGGGGTTTTCTATATTTTATTATAGTTTTTATTTCGATCTGCCGTGTCTTAGAGAAAGTTAATAGCTTTTGCTTTAAAGCTTATGCTTCTATATTTGAGTGCTTGATGTGAGTAAATGTTTCAGAAGTGAGTCCTTTGTGTGGTACTAGATTGTGGGGGAAACAGACAAAAAGCAAGCAAAGCACTTGCTGTCGTTAATTTCTTCATGATTTATGTTGCCCCTTTTTTTTCTTCTTTCCATTCCAAAGGTGCTAGGTAACTTTTTAGAGTCAATTTCAGAGCAGAAGAATATATATTTTAATACTAATTTTTATAATTTTTTTATTTTTTTTTGCTTTTGGGGAGAGTGTAGGGGCTTGTTTCCTTGTTTCCTTTTTATCTTCAGTAATTAGCTTCCAAAAATGCTTTTTTTAAATTCAAGTACCAAAAGCCCAGCAATCCATAATTGTCAAATTTCTGAATAAATGGCATCTATATTGAGTTTTAAACTATTGAAGCAAATAAGCCTCCTAATTTAAGATAACTGAATTAAGGTTTTGCTTACTGTAAATCTCATAAAATTTCTAACATTATTACAATAATGGGGTTTTATTTGGCTGCTAAAGCTACATTAGTTGCCCTAAAAAATATAATCTTAGTTGTGTGTGCCTTTTTACTAAGAGGCAGCATTATATGAAGTTAAAATCCAGACACTGGGCATTGTTTTACTAACCCTGTGCATTTTACTTTGCATTTACTTTGCTAACTTTTTAACTTCTAGAATCTAATTCCCAGAGTGGCTGGCAAACTTGATGTTTCACCTGTTTCTGACATTATTGAGATTCAGTCACCCAACATTTTTGTGAGAACTATCTATGCAGGTGAGTAGTCACAAAAAGTATGTGGTATTTCTGCAAAAAGGGACCCAATACCAGTAACTTTTCTACATAAACCCCTTGTTAAAATCTTGGAATATGATAGGAATTTTCACTTTACAATCTGAATTGCTGTGTTTCATGAAAATGAAACCTGAGAATGTTCTTTATGCTTCATGCATGAGAAAGCAAGTAATCACAACAACTTTGGTACTGTCAGTTAGAAACCACGTCTGTCACCTTGGCTAATAGTATTTGGTGGTCTCCTTTATACATACTGCATTTCTTCCTGTGCTTCTGATCAGATTTTGTAAAATGTAAGACATTAAGTTAATTGTCCAGCTTTATTTAATATGACTAGCATTAGTTCTGATTTAAGATAGCACAGGGTTATTTTTCATAGTTACAAAGACATTGAACTAATTACAATATTTAATTGGATTAATTTGCATTTATTTTCTGTCTTGTTTTTCTAATGTTTGTCTGAGCCTGTGTTTTAATTTAGATACGAGTTCATTAGCTTGTGTTTCTTGATTGTACCATGTGCATCAACGTGGTATTGCATTTTGAGTTACATGACCAGAGTGTGGTCTTTGTGTTGCACTTCTAAGCTGCTTCCCAGTAATTCACAGTTTCAAGGTGATTTTTTTTTATGAATAGCTGGTGGTGCAGCATTTTTTCTCTTTTAGTGTTCCCTGCAGCCTCCAGGGTGAAGTAAATAACTTAGATTGTACACTGTTGAGAAGAAACATAATCCTAGAGGTACTTGGAACAGGCTTCATGGGCTTCTGTTCTCATGAAGGCATGCAACAGGATAAAAGGTCCACTTTGAATTAGGGACACTGTTTAAGAATTATACTTTCAAAGGTTTTTTCTCTTCTGAAATTTAAAAGCTCATTCATAAGGGTTACTTTGAATGCTCTGAATCCTTTGGAAAAGAGCATTTGTTGGCATCCTATAGAAATATATTAGTATATTATAGAAATATATAGTGTATTATAGAAATATAGAAATATTAGTATAGCTAAAGAATAAATTAAAATGTTTGTAATCTGCATTTATTAAATGCCTAGGCTTCAAGTTTTGGTCCTCTAGAACTGCGGCTTTGGGAAGTCACTTTCTGAATGTTGCCTGTTCTAGAAGAACTAATGTATTTTTGGTATTCGTTTCATTTGTTTTTTAAAAGCAAAGTATGTCTGATAGTATCTTCTGTAAAAATATTATGGGACCTTTTATTTTTTTTTAGGAAATATTCTTTGCACTGTGCAATGTGATGAAGCAATTAAAATATTTACTGTACGAGGAACGTCTTTTGAGGCTGCACCAACAAGTGGTGGTAGTGCCAGTTTAGAAAAGTGTGAGTATTTGTTCTTTTGTTGTTTCATGCAATAGAGTTTTGCTCACTGCATGGTGATGGTTTGCAGAAGTATTTGTCAAAGCAAGCTGTCATACTCTTAACTTCATGCTTTTCATATGGGTACTTGCATGTTTTAGTGACGTCTGATAAGGGAAAATATGGGTTATCCAGTCACTTGCTATTTTTTTCTTTGGCCATAAGTGGCAATAGTCTGTGCCAGTTTCACTTGCTGCTCAAACCGTTGCCATTACAGTCTTCAAACTTTTCCTTATTTTAAGTTACAGCTGTTTGAATAGCCAGATTAGTTTTCAGAGCAAGATTAGGCAAAAATAAAGGTAGCTGGCTTTCCACAGTCTTGGTTTAATGGGTCTTATTTCAGTTGAGGTAGGTCATTACAGTGTCTAGCTAACTTAGTAACAGTTTAAATTGGTTTGAGAACACCAAATTACTGTTTTGTATCAATTTTAACTAAATCAGGTTAATATATTATTTTAATGAAGCCAGTGTAGCTTTGATAATAGAGAAATCCAGTCACAGAATTACGAAGTAATTTTTCATCTTAGTGCAGCTTGTACTATAGCTTATGGAAACAGCAAATGAGAGAGGCTGGTAACTGAGAGCCATAGGGCAAGTACTGATAGTAGTTAAAAGCTTGTGGTAGACTTGGTTATAGAACTAACTTCTGCCTTAAGTTTAAGTTTGAATGTAAAAGGTTGAAAATACATGCTTAATCCTGTTTCTTGTGGGTGTTTTTCTTCATCTGCTGAGTGCAGTAACCCCTCCACCACCCGTGGGCCTGTCTGAGTGGATTGAGCAGAAGGTGACTGAAAGTGATCGACCAGAGCTAACTAGTGCCAAAATTGTTGTATCAGGTGGTAAGTAGATAATACTGAAACGATCTCCTGTTGTATTTGGGTAATCTCCTGATGCTTTAGGTACCTCCTATATAAAAATCTGTAGCAGAACACTATAATGTGATACATTAAAAAAAAAAAAGGTAATTCTGAAATATGGCATAGGAGCCACTGGGAATGCACCCAACATATATGTTTCATGAAGTGGCAAAACGTGGGTTTAACATATGCTAATAGGCTTTGTAAGACCATTGTTGTATTTGTGGAATCCCTTTAAAATTATAGCAGTATGAAGTGGGTTTGTGTCCAAATCTGCCCTGTTTAAAATTACTGCTAATCATTACAGGCAATCAGAGCATTATTATGTAATGATTTTAAACCATTATGTTTGTATTCTGCTCTTTGGGTACAAAGTGATGGACTATTTTTTTACTGTGTGCCCAAGGCTGCAAAATTACTTCTTAGTTATGCTACTGCAGCATTTTGTACCTAAAGCCAGCAGAGGGAGCACAAATTAAAAATTGTTGTTTTGTGTGTATAAACCAACACCACTCTGTCTAGTTTACATAGAATGGTTTGGATTGGAAAGGTCCTTAAAGATAGATAGTCTAGTTCCAACCCCTCTGCTATGGGCAGGGACAGCTCATACTAGATGAGGTTGCTCAAAGCCCCATCCAACCTGGCCTTGGAACAACCCCTAGAACCATTCTATGATGAGTAAAAAACTTTGGTTTTCCTGTTTTCAGAGAATGATCTTCATGGTGCTGTAGGCAGAAAGTAAGCTAAACAGTCATGTTGGTTTATATATGTGAAATAATATTATTAATCACACAGACAAAGCTAAATCTCCAAATATTAAATAATGTTTGATAATGCAGCCAAAAAACCCTATGCAAGTGTGTATTTGTGCCTTTGCAAATGCAAGACAAAGTTTGTGTAGGCAATTATAAAAATAATACAGCTTATTATGTTCTTCTGTTCATCTTTTTTTATTCTTAATTTTTAAGGGAGAGGCTTGAAGAGTGGTGAAAATTTTAAGTTGCTGTACGATCTTGCGGATCAACTGCATGCTGCAGGTAAGCTTGTTTTCTTCCTTTTTTAACCCTGGTTATTAGATTTAAAAAGGTCACATTAAGGTGGACATTGTTTTTAAGTCTTATTTTTGCATCTCTATCAAATAAGCTCTTAAAATCCTGTTTGTTTAGTTGTAGATGAAGTTTTGTCGTGTCCTTGTGGTCAACTGTGCATTTAAATGCCCATGTATGAAGCAAAATGCAAAACTAATATTCCCTGTCCTTCTCAAATCTCCTGAGCATGAGCTCACAAACAAAGCCAGAAGCTGTATAAATTTAATTTGTCTTGGCTCACTTTGAAGAGCAGATATTTTCTTCCTATTTCCTTACATACTCCCTCTTTACAGAATCCCTTTCACAGTTCTTGTAGTTTGAGTGGCTCTTTTTGCCATGCTTTTGTATTAACAGGAGAAAGCTGACCACGTACAGTATTTCAGCAAAGTATTTTAAGTGAAGGTTGGGCAAGGGAGAGGAACTGTTTGCCTTAACACTTTAACTAGGTTAGTTTGAGATGTAATAATAAGCTTAGTTTTACAAGAATAGCTTTGTTTTGAATTAGTGGATTCACTAACTAAAAGTCCACGTGGCATTTTCAAGTTTACTTGGATACTTTACTGGGCCTGACTTTCGAGCTCCACAGCAATATTCAGACTTGGAGGAACATTATGGGAAGGCATTTGTGGGAAAATCTTTTTTTGACAGAGCCACAAGAGAGAATAATGGAAATATGCCAGACTGCCTTCCTCGGTTTTAAATATATGATTGTTTGGTGCCGGGAGCAAGGATTTCCTGTGGCTTATGAAGTGCATTAGTACTTAGTATTTGGAAGTTTTAGCCAGTGGTATAGAGAGGGATTACAAGAAGAGCTCTTAAGAGGGAAGTTTCTACATGTGTGCCCTTAGAGTGTGGGACTCTTCAGTAAAATCCATGTGCTTTTATGGTGATATAAATTTGGCTCGCTAATATTTTAAAGAAAACACTGGAAATATTTTCTTTCAACTAGTTGGAGCTTCCCGTGCAGCTGTTGATGCTGGCTTTGTTCCTAATGACTTGCAAGTTGGACAGACGGGCAAAATAGTAGCACCAGTAAGTATGGGAATATCATCCATAAAAGAGTTGTGATATTTTCTAGCATGCGTTTTTCCTTCAAAGCAAATGATTACTGTACACACTTAGCTCATTTCTGAGCCTAGCAGGAAAGTCCTACTGTGCCCAGCTTGACATTGTCACTTTACCATGTATTTGCAAAACTACAGCAGCAAGCTGTGATGGAAATATCTACTTTGGGTCAATGGTAAGTGTTCTGCAGACATTTTTTGTCAGTTTTTGCACACTGGATTTTTGCATAGTTGCCTGTGCTGAATCTTTTCTAGTTTTCTGTCAGCTGTCATTAATATACCAAAAGATGTCATTGCCAGAGTAAACTTGAAATTATATTGACATGTGACTTGATCCCTGGGAAGTGTGCTTTGGGTTTGTTGTGGGTTTTTTGGATTTGTTTTTTTTTACAGGTGATAATTTTTTAAAAAGATTTTGTTAGCTGTAACTGGATTGTTGCATTATATTCTAAGCAAAATTTCTTTGTAAGAGATAGAAGTGCAAGAAAGTGAAGAATAATATACTGGTTGGTGGCTGTAGAGTGAAATACCAAGAAGGGCTTACTCTGAGTGGCTTCATGTTGGGAAATAACCCACTGCATGTCTTTATTGCTATGCATCCTGATGTCTCAGGGGACTGATTACTATCCCTGTGTCTTGTTGGATCTGGGAGAGGCCTTTCTGTCATTTAGAAGTCTGGTACGATTTTTGTTGCTACTTGTGACCTGAAATGGGGTAGAGAGCTAAAGCACAGTTGAGCATTTGTAAATAAGAAGGTACAAATGTAGGTCATCTCAGTGTGGGGTAGAACATGCACTAGCACAAGCTGAGATGTGGTGATCATGAACAGGAGTAGGGATTGTGACTGAGAACACAGCAGCTATGGCAATGTCTGATGTACACTTGGAGATATATAACCAAGTAAACATGTAGCCTTTCAGAAAGCGGTTCTTTTTGCACATGTACAGCAACAGAAGGCACAAAAGACCAATTTTTTATTTGGTAGTGATTTAATGAGACCAGAAAGGGAGAGTGAACTGGAACTTAGTAGAGAAACTTGTCATATTTCAGCTGCTGCATTTACCAAATCACAATAATATAACTAATACTAAAAAGCCATAGATGTCCTGAGCCTTGCTAGGATCTTTGTGCCATTAAGAGCTGCAAATTCAAGAACTTCAAACCATGACTTTTCCAGTAATACATCCCACAGGGTAGAGCAATACTTGAAGATAATCAAGGGAAAGCATTTGTGATTCCTGGAGTTGGCTGTCAGTTCTGCCTTCTGGGTTTTCTTGAACTTCCTTTGAATCATAGAATCATAGAATCTTAGGGGCTGGAAGGGACCTCGAGAGATCATCTAGTCCAACCCCCCTGCCAGAGCAGGGTCACCTAGAGTACATCACACAGGAACTCATCCAGGTGGGTTTTGAATGTCTCCAGTGAGGGAGACTCCACAACCTCCCTGGGCAGTCTGTTCCAGTGCTCTGTCACTCTCACAGTAAAAAAATTTTTTCGGATATTCACCTTGAACCTCCTATGCTCCAATTTACACCCATTACCCCTTGTCCTATCACTGGTCATCACCGAGAAAAGCCTAACTCCGTCCCCCTGACACTCACCCCTTACATATTTGTAAACATTGATGAGGTCACCCCTCAGTCTCCTTTTCTCCAAGCTAAAGAGACCCAGCTCCCTCAGCCTTTCCTCATAAGGGAGATGTTCCACTCCCCTAATCATCTTCGTAGCTCTGCGCTGGACTCTTTCGAGCAGTTCCCTGTCCTTTTTGAACTGAGGGGCCCAGAACTGGACACAATACTCCAGATGTGGCCTCACCAATGCAGAATAGAGGGGGAGGAGAACCTCTCTTGACCTACTAACCACACCCTTTCTAATGCACCCCAGGATGCCATTGGCCTTCTTGGCCACAAGGGCACATTGCTGGCTCATGGTCATCCTCCTGTCTACCAGGACCCCCAGGTCTCTTTCACCTACACTACTCTCCAGCAGTTCAGCCCCCAACCTGTACTGGGACATGGTGTTGTTCTTCCCCAAATGTAAAACTCTGCACTTCCCCTTGTTGAATTTCATCATGTTTCTCCCCGCCCAACTCTCCAACCTATCTAAGTCTCTCTGAATGGCAGCACAGCCTTCTGGTGTGTCAGCCACTCCTCCCAGCTTAGTGTCATCAGCAAACTTGCTGAGGGTACATTCTATACCCTCATCCAGGTCGTTGATGAAGATGTTGAACAACACCGGTCCCAGCACCGACCCTTGTGGGACTCCACTAGTAACACACCTCCAACCAGATTCTACCCCATTGACTACAACTCTCTGACTCCTTCCTTTCAACCAGTTCCTAATCCACCTCACTTCCTGGTCACCAAACCCATACCTGATCAACTTATCCACAAGGATGCTGTGGGAGACGGTGTCAAATGCTTTACTGAAATCAAGATAAACCACATCTACCGCTCTACCATCATCTATCCACCTAGTAATTTCCTCATAGAAGGCTATGAGGTTAGTCAAACATGATTTACCCTTGATAAAACCATGCTGACTGCTCTTGATGACCCCCATGTCCTTGATGTGCCTGGAGATAGTGACAAGAACAAGTTGTTCCATCACCTTTCCAGGGATGGAGGTGAGGCTGACCGGTCTATAGTTACCCGGGTCCTCCTTCTTGCCCTTGTGCTTATGACTTCTTTTAATTTGAAATGTGAATAAGCGGTGTTTGCTGATTTTGTTAATTTTATTTTTTTTTTCTAAGTGCTCATCAGAGGCCTTCTGATGAGAGACCTGGTGGGCCAAGTGTAGCTGTTTCTAGGGACATGTGAATGTTTATCCTGTAAAGCTATGTGACAACCAGCTGTTACCAAAACCAGCTTCTGAGAAACAGACCTATTAATAAGACTTAAGGTCTGACCGTTTGGTTGCGTTTTGTGTGCTTCCAAAATCTCAGTAGCAGTGATGTCAACCTTTGCTGTGCAAGAAGATTTTGAGGCTTTACAGATAATAAATGCTACCCTAATTCTTCTTTCAGGTGGTGTCTTTTTTTGTGTGCATAGTATGTAATTGTTATTTTTTTGGACATAGTGCAGGCAAGTTGTAGCCCCCCATGTGATGCTTCCTCTTTGCTGAGGGAACATTTGTATTTAACTATGATGCGCTTTCTTTTGATTGCAGCACAGGCATAAGTGCCAGTGTATTGCAGCTATGGGTTTCAGTAAGCTAATCACCAGTAAATGCAGGTGCAACACCTATAGAAATTGCAGGTTCCAAAAGAGGCAGTCTTGAGTTGATTGTCATTCATACAAACCTTTGAAAACCAGGGATTAACCTGAGTGCATTCAGCTGCTTACTTTGAGAGGGAATGAGATGAGACAGACCATCCTTAGTTCTTCACTACCCAGATATCCAATAAGGAGTGGAAAGTGCTAATTCGAAGGCAGCTCAGCTCTGGTTTGTTTGTCTTGAGGCTCAACAATGAACATTCCTTCCAGAGTCAAGGGCATATAAACGATTACATTGAAACAAGAAGGACTAGGTTCTGATGAAGACATAGTGCTGTAACTTGCCACAGATGGCTTATAGCAGGATGTTAAAGTTCTAAGAACATACAGCCACATCATAGGATCACATTGCTGTCCTCTTCTACAGGGTTGTTAAAATAGCCAATAGTCAGGACTGAATAATGGATGCTTAACTATTTTGTCAGTCAGTGATGCTAACCGACACAACTGCATGGTGCTGTATCTTCTTGTCAGCAGGTTGATGCATTTTTCTCTCATCTCCCTCCTTAACAAATATTTATTAGGGAGTGAGTTATACAGAGTACTGAAAATTCATCTTTCAAATTGTTCAAATACTTACGGATCTCAGAGTACATGCAGGGACAGCATACAGTGGCTTAGAAAATATTTTATGGTCATTATAATGAAAGTGCAAGATGAATTGATTTTAAGCTCTCAGAGTTGCTGACGAGAGGGATTATTTTTTCAATGTGCTGGACAGATATCTTAAATATGAGGTAGTTTAGAGCTGCAGACTCTTAATTTCGTGTTCCTAATTCCACTTCACAGTCTTTTTTTGATACTTTAGATAGAAAATAAGTGTGTGTGGTGGAAGATAAAAGTCCACTAGAAGAAAGAGTAGCGCTTTCTGATCAGATCAAGATTATGTTGGCTGTTTGACCAGTCCTCTAGAAGATGACTGCTTGTCTTTCTATGAGCTGTGCTTGGTATCAGTAGCCCAGGGAGAGCTCATGCTGTTTTATCTGGGAAATTGCAAAGCAGCTTTGTGCATTGCCTAACTATATAAGTTGAGAGTTGTATTTATTGTTGAATGATGGGCACACTGTGTGCACTCCTGCACATGTGGGCTGAAAGCAGGGAAAGTATTTTGGACACAGAGCCTGTTGGAGATTGAGGCGTATTTGCTGTCCTGTGCAGCTGTTAGTTGCTGATGGGAAAGTATCTCAGCATATGCTCTTGCCCTTCTATTAATAGGCTCTTGCCCATTCTCAGTGGAGGATGGGAGCACATTGTTTTTGAGGGACTCTGGAATTGGGTCAATGTTGAGGCTACAGAGGGAGGAGAGTAAGTCACAAACTTGGGAAGAGGAGGGGTACATCTATTGCTGCTTTCTGTGTGTGACTGCGTTGGATTGCTCAACTTTGAGCTTTTGTTCATGTTGTAATTTATGCATTTTGCTGATTTTTGACTGACTTTTTCTTTAAGAGTTGTTTAATGTTTGGTGTATTATTTTTGTTAGTAGCTTTTTTAACCTGTTAATTTCAGGCGATTGCACCTCCTGTTTGAACATTCTGTCTTAGGAAAGAGGAAGCTGATTTGTATTGATGAGACAGAAGGACATTTTTAGGCATTAGTGGATGTATTAAAATAAAAAAATGTTACTTTCTTAATTAAAAAGTATTTTAATACATTCAGTGTCTTTAATCAGTGACAACCATTTTAGGAGCAGATT